ATTATATTTTATGGAGACTTAAAAGTTTTTTTTAAATAATTCTTGCTGTGAACTTTATATAATACTAGCATTGCCCGCGGCTCCAAAAAACCAAACAAACCAAAGACCAAAAACCAAATTCTTTGGTGTTACATGTTAGTATACTCTTACATTGCCGTTTTTTTATTTTTTCTCAGAAATGAGACATTTTCCCGCGGTAAAAAGTATCCTATATGTTGACCCGGACAACCATCTATCACTATACTAAATTTCATCAAAATCCCTCCAGTGGTTTTTCTGTGATGCGGTAACAGACAGACAGACAGACAAAAATTCTAAAAACTATAGATTCGACCGACTACTGTATCGATAGTAATGTCTATTTCAATAATATTTTCCAAGAAATCTTTAATGTACAGATTCGGCTTAGTTACAATTTTATTATATGTATAGAAAAAAGGTCTATGCGATCTTCACACAATAACGATAAATGGCAATTTATAATCTCGGAAAAATACCTAAACATCTGTTCGAGACACATGATACCACGTTAGAAGAAATTAAAGTTTGAAATGGTCAAAAACATTAAAGGCGCGTCACTCGACAGGTTTACGCGGAAAAAAATAGGCTATAAGCATCTCGGACCAGTATTACTAGTTCGATGACATAAGCGTACACCTGCAGGTCGGGAGCCCATTTAGGTTTTGCGTATTCACCGATCTACCCTATAAACTAACATATTTGTATGAGAAATCTCTGTAACTTAATATAGCTATGGACTTATTGGATGGATGTCAATAATAATGTTACTCCCGTAATATTTTAATTTTTTTTATTCTCCACCAACTGTGGAATGACGTTTTATTTAAGCTCTAAACTTCGACAATTTTTCTGACGTGTATGGACTATATGCGTTTTACTTCTTGGCATATCTCTCTCTACTGCGAAATGTGTTACGGTTCTCGCTGCGATTCGTTCGACAAACATATGCATTACTTAAAAATTATAGTTTTAAAAAACTAAAACACTTAGCCAACCATATTATCATCGTCCAAATGATACAAATGAAATAAAATGCCCAAAATCGAAGCATTCATTTGGTAATTGAAAAGTTCCTTCATCTAATCCTGGTTCCAACATCAGATCTTTCGCCAGTTCTCAGGTCTGAGGCTTCTTCTTTCCGAACTGGTAGTAGACTCATGATGTTCAGTAAAAAAATGTAATAATTTAATGCTGAATAAAATATTTGGAATTTTTGTATTTTGAATTTGTTTATTGAAGATCGAGCTGACTATATCTATACTAATATTACAAAGAGGTAATAAAGTTTGTGAGTTTGTGACGTTGTAGGGGGTAATCTCTGGATCTACTGAACCGATTTAGATAAAATTTGGTAAGAAGATAGTTTGAGACCCTGGAAAGGACATTGGATACCTTTTATCTCGGAAATCATCCCTTAAGGGGGTGAAAATGGGGATGAAAGTTTGTATTGGGAAGCAAGCTAGGCACATTATATTGTCATGCGGATCTTATAGTTACAAAGTTTCTAATGGATATTATAATTAGAAGCAGGTTACGATTTGATTACATTGTTAGTTATAAGTGAGACTAATAAAAGCAAGCGTGTTAAGAACAATTATTATAATTATGCAATGGAAGAGCTTTTTTATATCAATAATCTATACTAATATTACAAAGAGGTAAAGTTTGTGAGATTGTGACGTAGGGGGTAATCTCTGGGTCTTCTGAACCGATTTAGATGAAATTTAGTAAGAAGAATATAGTTTGAGACCCTGGGAAGAACATATTATTTTTTATCCCAAAAACCATTATTATTAAGGGGGTGAAAATGGGGATGAAAGTTTGTAGAAAGCAACCTAGGGACGAACCCGAGCGAAGCGAGGGTGAGTCGCTAGTAATGATAATAAGGAGGATATCTTTAAGCAGCACAGAAGTTTGTCTCCCAATCCTCATTTTAAAATATTTAGCTTTAGAAAAAGCTGGTTTTATATTTGCACCTGACATTCCATATATATTTATCATACTTATTTCCTGTAATAATAACATATTAAGTTGAAAAATATAAAACAAAATCTGTATTTAAGACTGTTATCTAAAACCCGCGTCAGTTATGAGAGGCCCAGAATTAGGTTATAAATTTTGAGTCGGTATCACTATGATGTCATCACGGACACCTGTGGAGTCCGAGGCGGTGGTCGATTTGCGATACTTGCCGAGGTAGCCGCGTGTGAACCCGAACTTAATATTTATTGACCAGTTAGTTTATAATTGAGCAAAAATAATCTTTAATAGTATTGATTTTGAAAAAAAAAAACATCTTTTATTAGTTCGTCTTAGGATATTGTAAGTTAAGTGTTAGAGTGAAAGGAACAGAGAGTGCACTAGTTTTCGCAGACACTTCTGCTCTATAATACCTCTTGCAGGTGGATAGTCTCAGTGAGATTGGCCGCTGTGGCCGTGATCGGTCTGGAAACCATTAAAATATGACTTCACACAGCAAATTAGGTTTTTCATTATATATGACCTCTTTGTAATGTATGTATTGTAATCAGTCCTTTTTAACGTCCCACTGCTGGGAACGGGCCTCCCTTCAATACGAGGAGGTTCAGGCCATAGTCCACCACGCTGGCCAAGTGTGGGTTAGTGGACTTCACATGTCTTTTGAAAACTTGCCAGTTTCTCTCAAACATGCAGGTTTCCTCACGAAAAATATCAGAGGTGCAAGACCCGGGATTTGATCCCGCTTCAATCGGTTTCCCAAGCGAGCGCGTTGCCACTGGGCTACCACTGCCTCAAATATATGCCTCTATTTAATACTAGATTATATTTTATTTTATATTTTACTTTAATGTGTGTGACTTATTTCAAAGCTTCTATAACATACATGTGTTTGGTATTACGGCTAGATTGTTGTGTACATTCTAGTATTCGCACGGTAGGCGTGTCCGTACTTACATAATGAGATGGACCTTATCAAGGCTGTTGTACACATTAGTATATTAATTACCTACATGTACACAGTTCTAGGAAAAATACCGTTTTTTCTCTGCATTGCTAAACAAAAAATGCGATTTGTATTTCGCTATCGATGGGATTGAATGTTCTAACCTATAGTTTTTTTATGTCAATTTAATGTACTTAAAGCGTTCTTATGGTGGACAGTAATACTGGAAAAAATTAAAATTACTATATATTACATGCAATAATGCTAAATATTTGAAATTCCATAAGATGTTAGATTAAAATGCAAATGTTAGTTTTTTTTAAATTCAGAACTTATTTTATTTTGCCAAAACGTAAAGTAGTTTTAACTTATATATTCACAAAAATATGCAGATAAACTAGTTCTTTGGCTTCGAAAGCAAATATTTTAAATGTTTTAAAAGAAAAATGTACACTCGAATTCTTAACTACGTACATCATTTGTCAACTTCAAACGAAGATTGAGTTATAGTGCTCTATTTACATACTATTTACCAACTTTTACATATAACATAAAGTTACCGAAACACGGAATATCTAAAACTTAGTCATGCCATCCACTGCGTTTTGTATGCCTTAGTCATAAAGAAACAAAGAAAACTTATTTTGAAGTATGAAAAATATAACATGTATAATATTATACAGTGTATTAGATTTTCTAGTTATGTATAATTTTAATTAGGTAAAGACAAAACTGATCAGTACCTTTTTCGCCTCTGTTGGTAAACCAATTTATTTTGGTTAGTAGCTATTGACGAGCTTGCGTCATCATTAAAAAATTTGGATTTTTTTATATAGATAGGTAAATTCTAATCGTATCTATATGTTTTCCTCGATTATGATCGAATTTCGACCACTCGTAGTTAGTCTTCCAATGGATACCATATGAGGCCTAATAATGCATTGATATCTATACATATAATAAATTATAATATATGTATAAACTATAATGCATCATTTAATTTGTAAATCTGTTTGTTACGCTATAATGACTCAACATAATATTTCAGTGAAGGTTATATTGGTGATAGTTTTTATTTTATCTTTTTTTTATAACGTTAGCACACGAGTGAAGCCGTGTGAACAACTATGTGTTAATTTTTTTTTTATAATCAGACAAAAGTAGGTTAATGCGATCAGCCTTCTAAATATATATAAGTTGACAATATCAAAACAAAGCTTACGGCAAAAGTTTATTGCAGTTTTTCTTTCTGTCTAAAGGATTGTAATATTATGTTTTTTTTATTATTTATATTTTTTATATTTTTGTATTGGTAGTTATTTTTGGATAATTAATAAAAATATATAATAAACTTATAATATCTGTAGTACGAAAAGGGAACCTTTTTATTAGTATTTGCAAGTCAACAAAAAAAATGAAGTCCATCATTGGTTTATGTTAGTTCATTTTGTCTGGCATAGGTACTAACTTACTACAAAGAAACCTACTTAAACATTACCAAATATAGAACAACCAACTATACCTATATCGGTATAAAAATGCTTCTACTTTTGTTTTTATTTTGTTTGGGTTATAATATTTACAATATCCACAGTTGATATATCCATAGAAATTTTCAATCAAATTACTTTTATTAATTGCTTTTATATGTATTAACTAGCATTGCGTTCAGATGATCAAAAACCAAACTCTTAGGTCTTACATATTAGTATACTCTTACATTGCAGTTTTTGTATTTTTTCTCTGAAATGAGGCATTTTCCCGCGGTAAAAAGTATTCTATATGTTGACCTGGATAACCAGCTATTACCATACCAAATTTTATCAAAATCCTTCCAGTAGTTTTTCTGTGATGCGGTAACAGACAGACAGACAGACAAAAATTCTAAAAACTATAGATTCGACCTTTGTATCGATAATAATGTTTATTTCAATAAGATTTTCCAAAAAAATATTTTATGTACAGATTCGGCTTAGTTACAATTTTATTATATGTATAGATAACTTTACTTTTATAATGACTTATATTTATCAATTACTTTTATTATTATTCGCAGAACACGGAGAGAACACACAAGACGCGAGGAGGACGGACCACGAGCGGCTAACCACCGGCTCGCTGGCCACCGATGGAGAAGGTACAATCGATATCTGTACTTATTGCATGACTTGTATTCTGCCTACTCGATGTGTTCTTTGGAATTGAAATAACAAATTGGGTAAATAGTGTATGTTCAGACACGTTTGTATGTAGAAATACTTTAAGTGTACGATATCTTGTTATTGTAGAAGGTGTAATTCGTTTTTTGATGTTTTTGTTTCTTATTTTATTGTTTTTGTTAAGTTGCTAGAAATTTCAATGAAATTATATACAGAAATAGTTATAAACGTTGGTTTTTCTAAAATTCAGTAACATGACTATGACCATAAATATATTCTGTCCAAAAAGTTTCGTAAGATTTCATACGTATAAATAATTTGATATTTAATAACAAAAATCCTAAAAGAAACAAAACGCGAAGGTTGTGGTGGTCAATTAGCCACAATTACGTGGGTCGACGAACCGAACGCTCTATATGCCATTTGTTTCCACTTGTATACTGTAATACTTTGTTTTTGTCGTTCAAGAATAGAAGTTTTGATTTAGATACGCTCGCAACAGATTGTTTTATGACCTAAAACACTTTATTTGATTTACGCCATCATATTTTCTCATGAGTTATAAATTCCCTATGGACTGTTCGCCATATTCGTTGTTGTACTGGTTAATAATAGGAAGTATAGATATGGATTCTTATGGAAAATTCCTTGAAAAGTTATATTTTATTTAGCAAATGTGCTAATATATTAACTTAATGTCCTTTTAATACATCTGGTATATAGAATTAAATAAGTTCTTAATAATAATTTATATTAAAATTAGCTTGTCTTCTTTTAGTCCGTTCGATCTGACTACCAATTCTTTTTAATATCGCAGCACCTTGGTATGGTTCTATCACCACAACTCCTCATGGTGCTATGGCGTCATGGTATTCACGTGTCTACTATAACCTTGACGATCGATTCGACCCGCCTACCTGGCGCCAGCTTGCGCTATACCGCCATATTTCATGGGATTTGTCAGACACCTGAAGGTATTTTCTAGAAAGTGATAGGTTTTAGGTCGTAAAAGTCCGATTTTAGGACCAATTTAAAAGACATTTTGCCATTAGGTTTGTTATTGGTTGAGATGTACTTCCAAAGTTTAAAGTACTCGTATGTTTACCGGTTAAACAAGAGAATGTGATATACTGTAATGATTTAATCTTTGCTAGGTGAATTCCTTAGTATCTATATACATAAATAATGATTTGACCACTACATATATGTAGGTTAGAAAAAACTTGGATAAAAACGCATGCGCTGTCATTGTTATTCTTAAATAATTAATGCATTCTTTGAAATTGAAAAATGTCCTGAATATTCGCTATGCGCTTTCACAACAAGTGACCAATATTATGTGATTAATTATTTCTTAGTTTTTGCCGGGAAGAAAATCTCTTTTCCCTAATACCAATAATATGATATCTTACGAAATATTCTAAGAAATGTAATGTTCAAGTTAATTTGGCTAGTTGATGTGACAGTTCGTCAGTTGCGCGTCGCCTCGAGCCAACTCTGGAACAATTAATGATGTAATATGGCTGAAATACTCGGTCATTTGAGAACCTGTTAAAGCCGATCTTTGGACCCTGAGATGAAAGAAGTAGATCTGATATTCTCAGTTTCATGACTCTGGGCAACTGATTATAATATAGTTCTAGAAGGGTTCATGAAACATATTTAAATCGTAGATAATAAAGTAGATTACTGAATAAAGTTGACAAATCAATGATATCCCAGATACTTTTATCAAGAAACTTTACAAAAATAAATAAACTGTTATTAACTCAAAACTAATTTTATTATCCTATTTATAATAACCGAAGCAAAATATGTCCTATTTTACGAGCCATTGCCTGATAAGTTTTTCATAACAGACTTATAAGAAGACTAATATCAATTCACTACTAGTGACCCACCCTCGCTTCGTTTAGACGTGTTCCTATGTGTTTTTTTTCATCATTATAATATTCTATGGGTATAATAGTCCATACATTGGCATAAAACTTAAAAGGTATCCTATGGTATGGCATGGCAGGGTGTATCATATGGTTACAAAGTGTCATCACAGTCCAATTAACGGCTTACGCTTGAGTTAAAACTTATAACCATACTAACTGATCATCCAAAATTTTTACAAAGTATATAATTAAAAATCAATTTTAGATTTATGCGAATAATTGACACTTTGAATAAAACTGTCTTTAGATATTTTGTCGAGATTTTGTTTTATGTTTTTTGTTCTCCACGTTTCATGGTCAAAATCCGAAATGCAATCCTTTTAACTATATTTTCTTTATTAAATTCAATTCATTTAACTTATGAATATCCTCATCTATTCTAGAGCGTCAAAATTGGGAGACGGAATGGTGTAGGCTGGCGTACTGGGAGCTGACCCAGAGAGTCGGGAGGCAGTTCAGCGTGAGAGTCCGCGCGGTCGACGTGTTCGGAGGAACGTGCGCCGGTAGGCATGGCTTGTGCTTGGATGCGCTCGACAGCAAGGAGCCACAGGTTGAACAGGTGAGGTGCTCTTCATTTGTCCACTCACTAGTGACGTACCCTTGCTTGGCTCGGGTACATCCCTAGTAGTCTAACATAATATATCTGTGCAATTTTAATCCATATCCTTCAGCCACTTTATATTACTCTATTTTGAGGAATATATTTTATAATACCATTTCTTAAATAGCAAAAGTAGGATCAAATAAAATGCTATAATAAGAAATATTGTCTTTTTACGACTTATGATTCACGTTTTTCCAAATATATTTAAAAAAATCCAAAAACAATTCGCCATATTATACAATCACACCATATTTTAATAATTAATTATTGTATATTCATTTAAAATGGCAGTGCAATTAGCTGTCACCATGCATCGGGGTCAGTGGATTCCATTCCCATAAAGAACCCCTTGCCAAAATTCGCAGCATACGTGATTCGCATAGCGTGGCTACGTGCGCGAAGTTGCGTACGACTTCATTTGCTTTATAATAATTATATTTATTATATTTGATATCGCTTGAGTGTGTGATAGTGGTCATGTAGCTTTAATGAATAAGTCTTTATAGGTTCGATGTCTTGATGTGGTAGATATCTTACTTTATATAGAAGATATAAACTTCTCTATTTTGTAGCAAGCGTTGTTTACGCGTTCAAATTCAACTTTAAATTTATTAGACTTCAATCTTATTAGTTCAATTTTATACAACTAAAGTAGTTCAGTCAGTGGGTTAGTGTAGTTGGTCCTTGAAGAAATTACTATCGTCTTCAAATCTGCTATTAAGATCTGGAAAAAAACTCAACAGTTGCTCTTTTAAAATAGCGGTTATGATCAAATGAAGCACGACGCGACTTATTACTCCATACTTGTGTCTAAAGCTGAAACCAAAAATTCATTATTATTGCATTTTTAAGGGATATGCAGTATTTTAGAATCATATAAATTACGCCTTTGATAAAAAAATAACATCTAAAAGACATTATGGTTAATAACTGGAGCTATAATACAAAATAATGTATTCATTATATTTAATAGGTCAAAATAAATCTCATTGGATTGAGATGTATCTATATATGTAAATTGATTTAGTGTTCAATGCGCGATAACCTTTACGATAACCCGTGAATCGAGATGCGTCGTACAAGTACATAGCGTAGTTTATAGCTGACTAGCGACCTGCTCTCGCTTCGCTTCCACATCGCTTACACCGCACACGTTTTATGTCTTTTTTCAATAATTACCACCTAGTAGTAAGATACTTATTAGGATATTTTCTGTGGAAAATTGATGCTCTCCTTAAAAAGTTGCATATACCACTATGCTATTTTTATTACTTATGTTTTAACGTTTTGTGGAAATTTCTCAGAGATGATATATTTTTCCCTACTAAAAAGTATCCTATATGTTGTCCCGGATAAGACAGACAGACAAAAATTCTAAAAACTATAGATTCCGTCTCTGTATCGATAATAATGATTTTTTCAATAAGATTTTCCAAAAAATATTTAATCTACAGATTCATCTTCATTAGATTTTTTTATATGTAATATTTAGATACAGATATAATAGAAGAATAAAACAAATAAATATTACTGCGCTAGCAAATTACCCTGGTTTTACTGGGGTATGTTCCTGGGTGCGTTTTGTTAAATACAATATATGTATATACATTATATTATATTCATACAACGCCACCTTTTGGCTAATTTTATTACTAACAGTAGCCTTTAAGTTATTTCAAGTCATAATATATTTGTGTACTTAATTTCATCCAAATCCGTCCAACAGTTTTAAAGTTTAAGAGTAACAAACATACATAACTTACAAACTTACATTTATAATAATAGGTGATAAACGTAAGGATTATCGATTTCGCGGTTGTTTTTAATAATACTTACAAGTATAACTGGCCACTACATAGATCAAGATGATTTCCAAGGAAATAGAAACGTTCAGAAAAACAATTTCCCATTACATTAAAAGAAAATTACGGAAAATAACCGCAGTTAAAAATGGATACTCTTAATGATAGCTATTTCAGCAGTGTTTACTTGTTAAATAAATATTATGTTTGCGCCAAACTGGTTGCCAAAGATGACTATCGATTAGTACGGACTACGGTGTAAACGATAATGGAAATACATTTAAATATATATTTAATTTCAATGCGTTAAGTATGGTCGTTTGTCTTAAAGTTGTTTTCTCAATTTAGAGTATTAATGGCTGGTCTTAGAATAAATTTAAAGTAATACTTAAAAACCATTGTCGTAATAAATAACGTATAGAGAGATATAGACACTAATGACTAATCTGTTTAAAACTAACGTGTTTAATATTTATAATACATATATTGAATATTGTCAATAATTATTATTTTTCTTCTATTTCAGGTTCGAAAAACTCGAGCGAAAATAGGCCTTGGGGTAACGTTATCCCTCGAAGCCGACGGCGTATGGCTTTATAATAGAAGTCAGGAACCGGTCTTTGTCAGTTCCCCAGCATTGGATGCGGCGGCGGCTAAAGCATTACTCGTATGGCGAGTGGCACCGGGGCATTGTTTGTGTATCTTCGACCCCTCAACCCCTCCACCTGCCATCACACTACCCCATGTGGGTCCAGTCGACCCCCGATCAGTGAGGATATCCTTCGCCAAGGGTTGGGGCCCGAAGTACTCGAGGCGTGACGTCACAGCTTGTCCATGCTGGCTGGAGGTCCTTCTGGCTCCTCCGAGCTGACGCTAAGACTTTAGTGGACCAAAGTGATTTGAACTTTCAGTGACATTTTTGTCACAGTGTCAAAACGGACAATGAACTTATTTTTGTCATGATTGACAAAAATTGAGTTTTTGACGTGGCTGTTTCGTTTTAGTAACAAAAATTTTTTTTGTCACTAAAACGGATAAAGGGGCGTGGTTTATATTACGTTATGACGTTTTCAATACTATCAGTAGGTGTCAGTTCTATGAAATATATTTTGCATTTTGTTTTAGTGTTGTAGCTCTGACACCGCTCGGTAGAGGCGATTGACCAAATCTGTATACAGACAAAAAATATTTATTTAAACAATAGGTATATTGTTAATGTAAATATTTTAGATAATTATTTATAAGAGGCCTTCATTAACTAATCATCAGAGAATAAATGACACAAAAATGTCAAAAATCAATTTTATTTTAAAATTGTTGCTAATCTGAAAAGCCTAAAAAAATTGTTCAGAAAGAAATGGGTAGCTTATTCGATTCATAAATTAAAATTATATACAAAATTTTATTTGTATTTGCATTTTTGTAAATCAAATGGTGATAATCAAAGTTACACGATCCGATCAAGGCCTTAGAAAAGTTGCATTGGGATAATTCGTCCAATTACACTATCTCAATGTTGGTATTTTCTAATATTTCATTGTATAATATGTATAGACCTCGGCTTTAAGTTACGCGAGACTGTAAAAAAAATTAAATATCTATAAATATTTAAATGCCTTATCCCTAGTTATAATATACTGTAAGTTCATTATTGTACAAAACATTATGTTTGCAATTTGTATCAGTTCGGGATGGCTGTGTGTAAAGCATTTTATAAGCTTGTGACGAGTACAAATATTCAATGTTAGACTGGTTTAAATAGTATATTGTATTGTGTGTAATATGCCTTATTTTTTGTATGTATATCTGCATTAATATTTGCTAATATACCAAGCAGCACAGTATAATAAATTTAAATTGTACTATGATTAGTCAATCAGTTATTTTTGCAGATTTTTTTATATTTGCTTAAAATATAATTGAAATTGCAAATCAGATTCATCTACATTCTTATTTTGTTAGCGCATACGTGTATAATGTGGTGTTACTTTATATATATAAGTGAACATTAATATATTATAAAATACAGTTATCTCGTTACAAGCTTAAAAGTTTTGATATCTCAAATTAGGGAGCAAAATCAGCATAGAACTAGTTCTGTTTAAAGATCTGCAATCGATAGTTGTAATTTAACTTGTGCCTTGCACTGTACCATACTGTGGAAAGTAATATGTTATATATATAAAACATTTATTATTTCTTATTTTCAATATGTTTTTGTATGTTATCTGTACAAAATATAATCGGGATTGAAGTTCTATCCATATTTTTAAAATGTTTAATTTGACATTATTAAATAAATTCCTACAATTCTAACATTATTATTATAATCTACAATTCTAACATATTTCTACAAGAATAGACCTATTTATTCTATTATTATTTTATTCTGTTCAAATGCTAAGTCATAATATTGTATAGATATTACTCTCCACAGTATATTGTGTTATTGTAATCCAAAATCTAGGGTAAATCAGTCAATTCAGACATTATATATAATTATACATTATTTCTCGAATTTAAGACAAAGCGAGTGGAGTTGACAATAAGATATCGATCTAGTCCGTTTATATCTTGCTTTGTTGGGTGTTATGGCCAGTTTAATTTTAAAAAGATTATTTCTATTTTTTTTTAAATGTCAAAATATTAATCACAAAGTTTTTACTTTTACAATTTTTTTGTCTATGATTAATGAAATTTTATTCCTGTAATTTAAATTGTCTTTAATTTGTAATATTTGAAATATTAATACGTAAAATTAGATATATAAACCTAATTTCCATAAAAATATGAATCAGGGGAATATAAAGTTAATTTTTAAATTGAATAAAATGTCTTAAATCAATTTTATAAGTAAATAATGTTAGTGTATTATATGCTGGTCTAAAGCACAAGTGCCTCACCCATCCGTCACATAATATAAGTAAAGTACATATTTATTTACGCTGTTTAGTCATTACGTTAGACTGATGTAGCGCCTTAAATATATGGGAATATATGTTTAACAGTACAATTTAAAAAAAAACATCTATTTTTTCTTTAAAAAAACTTATTGTCCAAACTAGGCTGAATATGTTAATACTTATGCATAAATCTTAAAAAAATGTCTGCTTGCACCATAACGCAAAATGAAAAGAAATAGTTATTTTATGGCTAAATTTACCTATTTTTATTAAATCAAATATTATAGCCATTTAAATAACATATCTTTTATGTATTTTTGTGATTTTGGAAATGGCAGTATTTCTTAAAAGGTTTTTATTTTTTTTGTATTGATAAAATTATATTCCCAGCTAATGTAAATAGACCGTACTCCAGTTCGCCGATTACTGTTAAGTTGTGTCTGACTGAGATGGATGAGATTAGGGATATGATAAATTATAATAAAGAAAGAGAATATTTTTATTTATATTGTTTTCTTTACACCTGACAACTTTATTTACAATATTTACAACTTATATTACATTATGATACATAGTGAAAAAGAATGGAATGCTATGTGTTTTCTTTGCCTATCATCTAAAACAAAAAAATTGAACACAGTGAGTCCCATAACTACTTATAATAATTATATTAATACATATAAATAAGCATTGTACATCGATTCACATAATACTTTCTTAGATTTACGCGAATGTTTGACATTATTAAATAAAACCAAAAATCAAAATAAATCCGCGAAATAATCCGAAAAGATAGTTTTATTTAACATTGTACATCGAATTTTAACTGTGCTGATCTAAAATGGGCGGCACTCTGTTCAATGATATAAAGAATACTAGCTTCAGAGCAATAAAGTTGTAATTCATATACAATAAAAAAATAGTTATTGTAGTTTCTTCAACGTTGTATCGGGTAGGAAGAAGCAGGACAGACCGCATACTGAAAACGAGTGATATTATAATTTATCACAGATTAATGCGCAAATTTTGAAAAATTTGTTTTAAACATTTAACATATAAAATAAAATGTTTATATACATTATTTACATTACATTATAATAAAATGTGTAGTGCTGAATAGCGCCATCTATCGAGATGTCAGAGTACCGTAAGGTCTCTGCGACTAGATATACAAACTTATGTAATTAATATTGATTTCTTTTACATTGTGTAAATTTTAGATTTTATTACTATTAACGTAAAAGAAAAATCATATATTTACAGTTAAATTGATTATAATTTAGACAAAAATTTTGAACAAAATATTTATCATTAAACGAAATTAGTGCGTAAATAAAACGTTTCAGTACTTTTTTTACAGATGGCGTTGCAAGTTGTACTTGTTACATTCTTATTTTTTTATGCACGCGTTCATTTTATAAAATTAAACTCGCTTTTAACCCACTAATGTATTTATAATATAAAAAAATTATTACAGTAAAATGAATCCAATGAACCCAAAACCGAAAGTTTTACTAATAAAAATTGAAGAGTTCCACTATCCATTACCCTATCACCAGACCAGTTCGATAATATCAAATTATTATTGTATTGCCATCCAAATTTCACATGTAAAGGTTCAGTAGCAAAAGAAAGAAGTATCGATTTATCACAAGTGTAATTATTTTAGAAATATTATTCGAAAACCTAGTTTTGTTACAACTTACGGCGCAATAAGTAAAAATTAAAAAAAAATAGAAATTTTATTGAAAACCGAAAGATGGTTTTTAATAGAACTTTATCTATCGAATAGGTTCTTTTAGATAAATTAACAGTAACGTTTATGATGAATTCATATTTACCTGTTAGGACTCCTCCAATGACCATAAATGGCGGCAAGCAGCCATAGTCGATGAGTGCCGGGAAGATGACAGTGCCCAGTATCGTCCCCACTCGACCAGTCATTAAAAATATCGCCATTGCCATTACTCTGCAACATTTTATTTAATAAGTACTTTTTAACTATTATTATAGATGCAAAAGCTTTTTGTTTTAATTTATCCACCTTTTTAAAGTCAGAACAATGAATACATATTGCGATTTTTACGTACATATACAAGCGACTTACACACGCTTCGCTTGGGTGCGTCCCTAAGCTTGAATGTTTTAGGAAGTCAAAAAAGACACAGGTCCAACAAAATTTTTTTTTTTGCACCAGAAACTTTCGGCGTGTACAGAATAACCCACCAGAGTTTAATCATAATTGGATCAATGGTTTAGGAACGCATAGAGGACAAACATACGAAATTCATTTTTATTTATATAGAAGACAATTATAAATACGAGTCTAGATTACCTAAGGGAAGTAGGGAAGAGATCAACAGCGATGCTAGACAGAGAGCTGCCACACAGGGCGGTCAGCGCGAGGGCGGTGGTGACGAGCGCGACCACGGGCGTCGCGCTGGTACCCACGAACGGCAGCAGGATGATGAACAGGGCACTCAGGACCCCGCAGACACCGGCCACTAACTTCTTGCCACATCTGGAATGGATCATTATTAGTATTTTCAACCTAACCTAACTTTTGAACAGCTTCGTTTCGTTTGCTTTACATCTATCATGGTCACGGGGGAGACTAAGGCTTTAGACGTCTCAAAGATCTTTATATACGAGTACTTAGTTGTTACAGACAGTACCGACCGTGACCCACAAAATTATAAAATGATATCAAAAAAAACAAAAATGGTCCCAAAGTAGGTACCTTACAATAAACATTTTTATAATTTTAATAACCAGTACATATATTATTTCATATGCAATTAGTAAAAAGCTGTTATTTTGTCATTACAAACAGACACTTTAATTTTATTTATCTGTACCAGCGTGTATAGCGCCACCTTTTGTCAAACATTACTGACTGTAGTCTATGGCCTAGTCATATCGGTAGGAAGGAGTCAAAAATATAAACACACATAGGTACTAACAAAAATACCCATTCAAAAGCAGTGTGATTATTACCTATTAATCAGAGCACCGCCAATACTATAAGTGAGAACTGAGCCGGCACCAACCACCGCGTTCTGCAGATATGTGAGCATGTCCGTTTCGATGGGGACACACTCTTCTGTTTGGGGCAGCACGTGAGGAGCTATCGCTGAGCAGAGGCTGGCGCCATCGGATTCTATCAGCGCGGCCAGCTGTGGGTACCAGAGGCGGATGGTGTTGGCACTGGAAGATGAAAGTTACCCTATCATAAAAATGCAACAGTTTATGAGTAAATACGTGTTTGTTGATTTTGTACTCTGAAACGGTTCAATGGATTTGAGTGAAATTCGAATTGGAAATTAAAATTTAAATGAATTAATTGTTTTTTGTTATACATTAAATGTCGGCGACGGAAAACCTATCTTCGAGTAACGTGTGTATTAATATAGGGACAATGTCATTTTAGCGTATTATGAATAATTGTTGTAAATATGAAATCTCATTCTTATTAGATTTATTATGTTAAAATAAGTTCTAATTAGTGTAATAAGGTTAGTTTAGAGTATTTTTTGCTTATTTGATCATATAAGACTATTTAACATTAATTTGAAAGGAATAGGTACGTAAGTAAAATGTTAGCATATAATTACGTAACTTGAAAATGAGATTTTTTGTTTCTTGCAATAGCATAATAGTTTATGTTTTAAATAATAGATTTTATTATAAAACTTATAATAAAACAAGAATTAGGTCGATAGGACTATCCGTTCAAAAGTTATAAGGGAAAATGTATAGTAAAAATGTAGCAACCTAGAAATTTAGATATTTTTGTTTTAAGACTTTTTAATTAATTATTATATATTGAATATTATGTTTTAATATTGTATAATAGTATGTAAGGCATGTAAATAAATAAATATGTGTAAGGTGTTTTACTGAAAACATAAAATAAAAGGACTCTCAAGGTTTCGGTTTGGGGAAATTTTACTCGAAAAATGAGCTCAAAGTACGCGGCTCTCTGTAAGGTATTAACGGGCCAAATAAAAGGCGAGCCATTTCTCGATTCGAGTCAGTCGCAAGACAGCCACCGAAGAGGCAACAACTAAAAGGAAAAGGAAGAACCGAAACCAAGAGAGAAAAAAGGAAAAATTGTGTTTTATTTCATCGCCTCTAAGTATAGTCTCCTGTCAACGAAGAAACCCTAGTGGATCGGGACCCAAGCTACGCATTCAGGGGTGCGTGGTGGCGTACATTACCAGCGAACGGACATACTGCCGTGTACGCCAAGAACGTCTGGGAGATTGTCCCAGGTCGACCTCCGGGTACTAGACATACCCTGGTTCTGGTCGTCCGAAACAGTTGGTCCTTCGAGCCGGATCCCTGCTAGAAGAAGTTCAGAAGAAACAGAAGATTGCGTTCAAGATGCCGGTAACCAGGTCGCAGAAGGATGCCCCCTCACGTCCCGGGTCCCGTCCTTCAGATAGGGACGCGACAGATGGAACGTCGGGATCAGAAGGGGTCACGTCAGCGTCGGCGTCATCGGGAACTGCAACTACATCGAACACTTCTTCGGGTACCACGACCACGGAGGGCACCACAGTGACGGAGACTACGGTTACGACTGCAACTACGGCGGCGTCTATGGAAGGCAACAAAGAAGATGCTGCACAGAGGATGACCAGGAAGAGCCAAGAAGATGTACCTGGAAAGGATGTTCAAGGCTCCTCCAAGACCCTGAAACCGATGGGGGTCAGTCGTCGCGCCAGGTCCACGAAGACCACGAGTTCCTCGGCCAGAAGACGCGAGCTAGAAGCAAAGGAAGAGTTGGCACGCCTGGAGTTGAAGCAAGCACAGGCTGAAACTAAGCTAGCCCGTGTCAGATTGGAGATGGCACAGTGTGAAGAAGAGGACTCCGTGGATGAAGACCTGGAAGACAGAACAGCACAGGTGCAGAACTGGATCGAGACGTCTGTGCTGGAGGATGGCAACAAAGTTCAACCAGAGATGCGAGGTCCACACCCCTTGGAAGAGCCACAGAAGATGAAGCCTGAAGAGAACTCCTCAACGAGAGGAGCTACGATTGAAATTCAAGCACTGACGGCAGCATTGAAGGAAGCTCTTACCACGCGAGGACCAGCAGGACAGCCAACCTACATTCACGAGTTACCCTACTTCGACGGCAACAGCAGCGAGTGGATGGCCTTCAAGGTTGTCTATGAAGATACAGCACCGATGTTCAACAACGTCCAGAATATGGCTCGGCTAAGAAGAGCACTGAAGGGCAACGCAAGAGAAGCTATCAAGAGTCTGCTGTACTCCGAAGCCTCTCCGATGAAAGTGATTCAAGCCCTCAGAAGAAGATATGGAAGACCAGATGCACTGGTGCTGGCAGAGTTGGACAAGGTCAAAACGTTGCCGAAGATTTCTAAAAACCCAAGGGACATATGCCTCTTCGCGAGCCAGATCAGCAACAGCGTAGCGGCAATAAAAGGATTGAAGAAACCACAGTACCTGCATTCACCTGAGATGGTGAAACAAATTATTGAGAAGATGCCTACGATCCTCAAGTTCCGATGGTACGACTTCATTGAAACAACAAAAGAAGGCGAGTTCTCCGACCTAACACTGGTGTCCAAGTTCCTGAACAGAGAAGCAGACAAGTGTGGAGCCTATGCATCAACAGAAGAGAAGAGCGGGTTCAGACGGACTCATCGACAAGCAACGCATTCAACTAAGGAAAAGGACTTCAAAGAAAAGGTTTCAAGATCAGAGAAGACTTGCCCCATGTGTGAGGGTGAACACTTCCTCGTCGGGTGTCAAAAGTTCCTTAAGGCGTCTGTGCAAGATCGATGGGCAATAGTGAAGAAAAGCTGCGTTTGCTTCAAGTGTTTACAAGGGACACATCGGAAGGAGAGCTGCAAGAAGCCGTCGTGCAAGGAATGCAAGAGGTGGCATCATCATCTGCTGCACGTCGAGACAGAGAAAAGTTCCTCGGAAGAACAGAAGAACAAACCACAAGAAGTGGCGAGCATCATGGCATCGGTGAATGCGGTCAACAACGCAAGGGCATACCTGAAGATAATTCCGATAGAAATCTTCGGGTCAAAAGGATCAAAGAAGATATTGGCCCTCATGGATGAAGGGTCAACAGTGTCGCTGCTAGACCAGAAGGTAGCAGAAGAAATCGGCGCTCAAGGAAGAAAGGAGGAACTGGTCATCGAGACTGTTGGAGGCAGGCTGATAAGGAAGGAAGACTCTCAGATGCTGGACCTTACGGTGAAGGGGATTCATCAGAAGACCAAGAAGACCTTGAGAAGAGTCCGGACCATCGACGAGTTAAAGCTTGCACCGCAGTTCCTAGAAAAGAAAAGGATAGAAGAGTGTCAACACTTGAAGAAGATTGCTGACTCTCTATATTATAAGGGGGAGTCACCACAGCTGCTCATCGGTCAAGACAACTGGGAGCTAATCGTGACTCAAGAAGTAAGAAGAGGGAAACCAGGACAACCAGTCGCTTCAAGAACAGGACTTGGATGGGTGCTCCACGGGTCAGACACTGGAGGCGCGAAAGTGGTGCACTTCTTAAACACGTGTCTACATGTCAGCACGCCAGAAGAAGAGATGCATCAAGCCATCAAGGATCACTTCGCAATCGAAGCACTTGGAGTACTACCAAGAAGACCCACTACGGATTCAGAAGGAAGAGCACTCACCATCCTAGAGAAGACCTGCAGAAGACTAGAAGATGGTCGATTTGAAACTGGACTTCTATGGAAAAATGAAGATGAACAGATGCCTGAAAGCTACACGTCTGCCAAGAACCGATTGTTCAACATTGAAAAGAAGATAGACAAAGACCCTCAGCTGAAGGCAGAATACAATAAGCAGATCCAGCATCTAATCGACAGCAAGTATGCAGAAGAAGCACCTGGTGGACAAGAAGATTCAAAGAAGACATGGTACCTCCCTCATTTCTCCGTGGTACATCCATTGAAGAAGAAAATAAGGATCGTCTTCGACGCTGCAGCCAAGTCTGAAGGGAGAAGCCTCAACGACGCTTTACTACCGGGACCAGACCTACTGCAATCGCTCTTCGGGGTATTACTGAGGTTCCGGCAAGGCCCGTTTGCAGTGGCAGCCGACATAAAGGAAATGTTCCTGCAAGTTCGCATCCGGCCAGAAGATAGAAACAGCTTGAAGTTCCTGTGGCGAGGGGATCGTCGTGACGTAGCACCGAAGGAGTACAGAATGACATCAGTCATCTTCGGCGCGACATCATCTCCTAGCACAGCGATCTACGTGAAGAACCGGAACGCGGCGGACTACAAGAAGCAGTACCCAGAGGCAGCAAAGGCAATCGAGCTGAACCATTACATGGATGACTACCTGCACAGCTTCCATTCAGAAGAGGACTTCAAGAGAATTACAGCGCAGGTGGACTTCATTCACAAAAAGGCGGGCTTCGAACTCCGAGGATGGGCGTCAAACCACTCCGACCTGCTGCAAGACGTGAAGACTGAGTCAGTTGAGAAGACAGAGGTGGACCTTGGTGAGAAGGAAGAGAAGACACTGGGACTACGCTGGTTTACAGAAAGGGACTCCATAGGCTTTAGGGCGAACCTTCGGAACACGCCAGATGAAGTGGCACAAGGACTCAAGGTACCTACGAAGAGAGAAGTCACCAGCGCCGTGATGTCGACCTTCGATCCACTAGGGCTAGCATCACCAATTCTCATCCAAGGCAAAAGGCTGCTCCAGAACATATGGCGAAGTGGCGTCGGTTGGGATGAAGAGATAGAAGAAAAGGAGTACGAGTCATGGAAGACTTACCTGGAGAAGATGAAGCTGCTCCAAGACCTTCAGATCCCGAGATGTCTGGCACCACGTCGCACCGAGGGGGAGCTGCACACGTTCACGGATGCAAGCGAAATGGCGTATGCAGCTACGGTATATTGGAGAACTGAAAATCAAAATGGGACTTATGACGTCAGCTTAGTAGCAGCAAAAGTAAGAGTCGCTCCGTTGAAGCCGGTGTCAATCCCGAGACTCGAGCTGCAAGCGGCCCTCCTAGGAAGCAGATTGGCACACTCGGTCGAGGAAGAAATGGATCTGAAAATAGAAAAGAAGACGTTTTGGACAGACTCCAGTATCGTGCTATCATGGATCAAGACGGACCCGAGAACCTTCAAGACATTCGTGGCTCATCGCTTGGCGGAGATAGAAGATCTCACAAAACCACAGGACTGGAGATGGGTACCGACGGCGCAGAACCCTGCAGATGATGCAACACGTGACGTACCAGAACACTTCGACTGCCAACACCGATGGTACACCGGACCAGGGTTTCTAAGAAGAGATGAAGTTCACTGGCCTGCGGCAAGAACATTCAAGAAAGAAACCACTGGCGAAGAAAAGGCAGCGGACATCGTAGCGACTGCAGGCAGCTCCTATCCATCACCAGATCCCGAAAAGTTCTCGTCGTGGAAAAGACTTTGGCGAGCTACAGCAAGAGTACTGCAGTTCATACAACTCTGCAGAAGAAAGGAAAAGGTCCACGCCAGCAAAGAAGATCCTACCTGGAAAACTACAAAAAGGAATAAGAAAATTGTTGAGAAGCGACATCTGTCTTCAAAAACGTCAGAAAGGAAATACATACCATTGGAAACAAGTCTACTAGAGCAAGCTGAAACGCTGTTGTTAAGAAGAAGTCAAGAGAAATGCTTCAAAGAGGACATCAGGTGCCTACAGCAAGGAAAACAATTAGAGGGCAGCAGCAAGTTGAAAAGGCTCGACGTAGTGCTAGAAGAAGGTCTCCTGCGACTGAAAGGAAGAATCGACGCGATACGAGGGGTTACCAGAGACTACAAACGACCCATCGTACTCGACAGCAAGGACAAGACAACACTTCTCATCATAGAAGAATTTCACTGCCGCTTCAATCACGAGAATCACGCGACCGTAATGAACGAAGTAAGACAACGCTTCTGGGTGCTAGGACTGAGGTCAGCGATCAAGACCATTCAACATCAATGCCAGTGGTGCAAAACAAGAAAGGCAAGACCTCAAGAACTACCAGTGGGCAACTTACCTGCTGAGAGGCTGATGCACGGAAACCCTCCATTTACGTGCACGGGAATAGATTACTTCGGCCCTATGACGATCACCGTAGCAAGACGCCATGAGAAGAGATGGGGTGCTCTATTCACATGCTTAACAACACGAGCTGTACACATTGAGCTCACTCCTTCACTCTCCACTGACAGCATGATCATGGCACTACGACGATTCGCCGCGAGAAGGGGAATGCCAAAGATAATCTACACCGACAATGGCACTAACTTCGTTGGCGCCAACAAAGAACTCAAAGAAGCACTAGACACCATGAAGCAAGAAGACCTTATCTCGGAAGCGGAGAAGATCGGTGTGCAGTGGAAGTTCATACCTCCTGGTGCACCAAACATGGGAGGTGCATGGGAGCGTCTGGTGCGATCCATTAAAACCGCACTGGACGCCACGCTCAACGAAAGGCAACCACGAGAGGAGGTACTTCATACCCTCCTGTTAGAGGCCGAGCACATAGTCAACTCTCGGCCCCTCACCCACCTCTCCGAGAACCCTGAAGAAGAAGCACTTACACCGAACCACTTTCTCATCGGGCGATCATGTGGCGCAGCAAGAATCGGCAGCTTCGAGGACAACGAGCTTGTGGGCAGACACACCTGGAAGGCTACGCAGCGACTTGCCGATCACTTCTGGCAACGTTGGCTGAGAGAGTATTTGCCCACTCTACTACCAAGGAAGACCAAAGGAAGAGTCAGCGCCACAGATTTGCAAGTCGGAGACATCGTACTGATCGTCGATCACAGCCTACCAAGATGCATCTGGCCACGCGGAAGAATCCTGCATGTGTATCCTGGACCAGACGGGCGGACCAGAGTCGTCGACGTCGAGACCAGAGGAGGTGTTCTACGGAGGCCCAGTTCGAGAGTGGTGCGGTTGGTGCCGGGAGCGTCGCCGAGTCCAGGAGTTGGTGCAAAGCACGAGGGGGAGAATGTCGGCGACGGAAAACCTATCTTCGAGTAACGTGTGTATTAATATAGGGACAATGTCATTTTAGCGTATTATGAATAATTGTTGTAAATATGAAATCTCATTCTTATTAGATTTATTATGTTAAAATAAGTTCTAATTAGTGTAATAAGGTTAGTTTAGAGTATTTTTTGCTTATTTGATCATATAAGACTATTTAACATTAATTTGAAAGGAATAGGTACGTAAGTAAAATGTTAGCATATAATTACGTAACTTGAAAATGAGATTTTTTGTTTCTTGCAATAGCATAATAGTTTATGTTTTAAATAATAGATTTTATTATAAAACTTATAATAAAACAAGAATTAGGTCGATAGGACTATCCGTTCAAAAGTTATAAGGGAAAATGTATAGTAAAAATGTAGCAACCTAGAAATTTAGATATTTTTGTTTTAAGACTTTTTAATTAATTATTATATATTGAATATTATGTTTTAATATTGTATAATAGTATGTAAGGCATGTAAATAAATAAATATGTGTAAGGTGTTTTACTGAAAACATAAAATAAAAGGACTCTCAAGGTTTCGGTTTGGGGAAATTTTACTCGAAAAATGAGCTCAAAGTACGCGGCTCTCTGTAAGGTATTAACGGGCCAAATAAAAGGCGAGCCATTTCTCGATTCGAGTCAGTCGCAAGACAGCCACCGAAGAGGCAACAACTAAAAGGAAAAGGAAGAACCGAAACCAAGAGAGAAAAAAGGAAAAATTGTGTTTTATTTCATCGCCTCTAAGTATAGTCTCCTGTCAACGAAGAAACCCTAGTGGATCGGGACCCAAGCTACGCATTCAGGGGTGCGTGGTGGCGTACATTACCAGCGAACGGACATACTGCCGTGTACGCCAAGAACGTCTGGGAGATTGTCCCAGGTCGACCTCCGGGTACTAGACATACCCTGGTTCTGGTCGTCCGAAACAATAATACATATATTTTATACATATACTATAATAATAATATAAGGAATATAACTAAACTCTTTGATCGTAGACACAAGCGCGCCCTCTCTTCTTTCATTCTACAAATTGTTGGGACTATAATTCGGAACTATTGATGAAAGCTTAACTAATGAATTCGTAGCACGATCAAATTTTCGACTCCGGATTGTTATGGAGACACAAAAACCATATTACATCTGGCCAGACTCGCGACTCGAACTCAGGACCTCCGACCGAGGATCTTCAGTCGTACATGCTAGCCACTAGAGTCTAGACCATCAAGGCAGCTATAAGTACCTTTTTAGTAAAATATGTACATATGTATGTATTCAGCCCTTTTTAAAGTCCCACTGCTGGGCCTTCAATACGAGGTGGATCAAGCCATAGTCCACCACGCTGGCCAAGTGCGGGTTGGCGGACTTCACATGCGAAAACTTTCGACAACTTGCTAGGTTTTCTCAGACATGGATGTTTCCTCACGATCTTTTCCTTTACCGTAAGGCAAGTGGTAATCATCAATAAATGAAGTATATACAAAATAATAGATACCCAAACATACAGCCACAATGCGCCCCGCACAGTAGTACCAGCCACCCTATATGTGGGGTTTTGAAGAGAGGCGCGAACTGCGCTCCGCCGCCCTTTAGAGCTTCGATACCTCTACTGCGCTGTTGACTCTTTTCCTCCATTAGTTTTATTATCTGAAATTGTTTATTAAAAAAAACACAAAGATATTAACACTTAATTATTCCAAATGACAGAAATAATATTATGTATTAGCAGTTCCCGCGGCATCGCTCGCGCTAAAACTGCAAAAAATCTCTAAAAAGGTAGTTTCATACACACTTTCATCCCCTATTTAAACCCCTTATAGGATGAATTTCAAAAAATGCTAAAACACGTATTTAATTAATTTTATTGAAGAGCACTAATACCAAGTTTCATGTAATTCTCACTTTAAATATTTTTTGGATTGAATCAGATAATATCCCGCGGTAAAAAGTAGCCTATGTCACTCTCCAGCCCTCCAACTATCTCCACACAAAAAATCACGTCAATCCGTCACTCCGTTACACGTGAAAGAAGGACAAATAAACAAACACACTTTCACATTTATAACATTAGTATGAATTTTATGACTTTTACTCAAGTACTAAGTTCTTAACTACTAAAAGGTACTAAGTTTTTGTGTGACTTGAATAGTTTTTAGAGTTTTTGTCTGTCCGTCTGTCTGGGAACGCATCACGAGAAAACCACTGGACCGATTTTGATGAAATTTGGTATGATGATAGCTGGTTATCCGGGTCGACATATAGGATACTTTTTACTGCGGGAAAATATCTAATTTCTAAGAAATCTATACTAAACGCTAAAACATAATTAGAGACGGAGCGAGGGTGAGTCGCCAATTAGCTATAAAAATCACTTTCAGCTTTCTAGTAACATAATACAATTGAGCTTCTATCTCACCGGATATGTCTCCGGCTGCCTGCCACTGTTCATTGTGTATATTCTGCGGAACACCTCGAGGGCTTCATCGTTGCGTCCTCTGGACATAAGGAACTTCGGACTCTCAGGCAAACAAAGGAACGCTAACCCAGTTAGAAGTGGGACCATCGCTGTAGCCAGGAGGAATAGATTCCAAGAGTGTAATACTAGAAATTATTAAATAGTTTGAAGTTAGCATTTACAATATTAGGACCTTTATTGCCTACATGGTTGACCTGTAATAAATAACAATAAAGTCTTTCTGACGGGAATTCTATGACAGCTGTCAATCTAAATGAGACTAACCAACGCAGGAGATTTTAAAGAGTAGGTATAAAGCTGGCCGTACACGGGCAGCTTGAAGCAGCTAGTATCGACTGCTTTAAGCTGCGACCGCATAGCAAACTACAGTCCGTGTATGGCCGGCCTAAGTGTTTCCTTTAACATCAATAAATAAACAAATATCTGATGATACAACTAATTCTTGGCCCCACCTAAAACTCGAACCCAGGACCTCACAATTTGGAGACATACATATTAGTTACTAGACTAATGAGAATTACAAGAATGTACATAGTAGTTACCTGACCAATGAGCATCACGAGAATTAAAAGTAAAAGTAATTCTATTATTATAGTTTCTTTTCGAGTTGCGTGAAGGAATAGTAAACTTAGTACAAGTTGCGTCAAGAAGTTATATGATGGTAATAGGGATAGCATAATATTAATTTGTATTCTATACTTTGTTTCTGCGAGTACTTTGCTTATACAATGTGTTAAAAGTTCACCCGTCCACGGTCCACGTGCTCTCGTTACTCTAAATAACTCTAGAAATAACTTAGAAATTGTGTTGTTACAGGAAGTAATTCATATGTTCTCATTGTAAGTACCTCCGAGTCCGATGTTTATATGTAATGCTGATTTACCTATAATAATAATTATAAACAGTTATATATGTATACAATATTTTAAATTATAACGTGGCTTGTGTCTTTTTCACTCTCTTGCTTATTTGCTTGCCATTTAGTTTAAAATGAGGATTTTTTTTGAACGCATCGACCAATTTTTCTTTTTTAGTGTAAAAATGTTTATATGTCGCTTATCCTTTCTACTTTAACTATGAACCACGCTTTCTGTCAGCAGATCAGTGTTTATTATGTACTTATTTGCGTTCACCAGACTGACCAAACACACAAACTGATATTTACTTCCTCCACCTGACCTATCAGGTGTACCTACAATCTACATGTCAATAATGCTCCTAGTGTTCCAAGCGCACGTACAGGAGCTACTACGGTTGCTGCTCACTATCAGACAGTTTATAAGCTACTTTGCAACTTTTGGAATGAAATATAACAAGAAAACTTACCAAAAGTATTATTAAATAAAGAGAAGTCCCAATCCATCGGTAAGATAGCCCACGCCAATAGAGGCAGGGTGGTATTGGCTATTGTGTAAAACAGGCTACTGAGGAGGATGACGCGAGCTCGGAGATCTGTTCGATGGAGCTCTGCTATATAGGTGATGAGGACTGCGAATGGTCCATTAAATCTGGAAATTAGTGAAATATTGTCATCAGTATAGTTGCATTTGAAAAAAATATATGACTCTTATAATGTATAATATTAAATTAATCTGATGTTACGAAGGCAGTAGCATAAAGTAAAAATCAAAATCTATGTTTTATTTTATTTGTGAAATATACGTAATTTGACAATCATAAATGTGAAATTTAATGAAATATAAAAAATTATTACATAGTCTTATATTCTCATAGACTTTGAATTACTAAAAGCAAAAGATCGTCAGGTTTTCCAAAGACTTTGAGAGAGAATGAATTTATATTTTTCTTACAGTTAAATGGAAGTTTGATTACATCTCTTACAACCAAAAATATATTTGACGACACGTATGACTCAGTTTGTAGTGCCACACTTGCTGTGCCAGCGGTCGCAGGTTCGAATCCCGCTGGGAGCATTCATTTATGTGATGAACATGAATGTTTGTACTTCAGTCATCGGTGTTAATATTTATAATATGTAATATATGTGTACCTAATGTATCAACTATCTGGTATCCATAACACAAGCTTCATAGCTTACCATGGAACTAGATGGTGCTGTGTGTTAATGTCCCAACAAATTATTTACTTGTTATTTGGGGAAAATATACTGTGACAGTTAGACATCCAGACAAACATACGCGTGATCCTACGAGGGTTTTGGTCTTCCACGCAATGTTCTGTACGTTAGGAGCAAACTCACAAAAATCCACTGGAGAATCTGGTGATGAGAAGCATGGTGAAGTTCTGACTCATTGCTGCTGCGATCTCCATCACGCCGGAGCCGAAAAACCCCCAAACCAGTAACTGTTTTCTGCCCAATGTGTCTGACAGGAAGCCCCAAACCACTGCCGACGATATCATACCTGGAAAATATGATATTTCGTTTTAATTTTAGGATATATTGCATAAATGAACATTTTATAACATCTGTGTAATAACACAGATGTTATAAAATGTTCATTTCAGATCCCACAATAGTGGGATCTGAAATGATTTTGCATAGAGATTTGCACAGAGGTAAGTAATAAATAGATAGTTTACTTTTATCTCCAATTGGTCTGTATATTTGAAGCTCGTATAGTGACAAAACTAACTAAACTTAAAATCATTTGTGACCATGGAAAATTATGGAGTAACTGATGAAATCGTTTAAATATGTAAAACGGTGTAAAAGTGTGAGTCAATCTAATTCTTTTGTGAACATTTATGTCTTTTATTTTGCATAAATAACAAAAATAAATAATTATAACGCCATCTATTGACATAAATTATTTGTTCCTGTTGAGATAAGATTATAAGAGGCTCACCCTCGCTTTACTCGTGTTCGTCCCTAGGTACGTTTTAACGGTTAGTATGGAATAAATAGACTATATATTATATGATAAATATATACCTTTAGCCTTCCTCAATAAACGGGCTATCTAATGCAAAAAGAATTTTTCAAATCAGTTTAGTAGTTCCTGAGATTAGCGCGTTCAAACAAACAAACTCTGCCCCTTTAGAATATTGTCGCGTAATGGAGAGCGTGTAACGTCATAACACCAAAAATAATAATTGAAAAGGTCACGTCTAAAGCATGCTTTATACATCGTCGAAATACATTTCAAGAGAGGCATCGAAATTACTACAAGTTTTGAATTCAGACAAGGACAATTAATCATAAATTACCGTGTGTAAAAGTGAGAGAGAAACAAACATTGGATATAACTAGAAAGGTTTTGAATTTTTGAATACAAAAATATTCTTTGCTTATAAATATAAAAAGGCCGGCAGTGTGTCAAGAGATCATTTGAATTTCGAAGTAAAGTGAAGACTGAGAAGAAGAACGAAAAAGTGAAAAGTGACGAAAAGTGGAGTGAAATTATAGTGAAAATGTATCTAGTGGTGAAAATTAGTGTTCAATGACTGAGTTTGACCAGAACTGTGTATATACCACGTGTTTTAGTGAATCTCCAAAAGTCACTCTTGTTAACCAATAGTAATAAAACATCGATAGCACAAAAGACGTGCTTTAATTTCCGATCCCGAACTCATAGAACGTAACAATATTAACAATATAATAAGCGCCTATGGGACCACTTTGTACACCCCTTGTACATGCAGATAAAAAAATATAAAAAAATATTATATTGGAACATGCAGATAAAAAATATAAAAAAATATTAATTTGAAAGTTTGGATGAGAACATCAAAAGATTTAAATTAACAAGAATCGGAAATTGATAAATTAAGATGGAAAACATCTAACGCGAAGATGTTCATAAATAAATACTCCAATGATAAGTAATGTCACAAAATAAATATTATATTTTAAAATAAAATTATGTACATTATACTTATAACGTAATTTACTTTGTTTATTTAAACTATGTAATAGATATCAGTAATTATTTCAGAACAAAAGATATTTCATGTCACTTTATTTTTATTGACTCAATTGTGTTAATAATATTATTCTTCAATTACTTAATATTCGTAGGTAATGTTATATGTAGGTACGTGTAAATTTTTAGAGAAATATTTGATTGATTTTTTTTTTAAATAGATAGGTTGTAAGTTGTAAGTTAACTGTTACAAGCCATGGTTACGGATATACGTCATCACCATCATTGTCAGTGTCCGTTTTACGTCACAATAATATTTCAGAGTGAAAATTTAAAGACGATGTGAAAGTGTGTTTGTTTGTCCTTTTTTCATGTCAAAACAGAGGGACGGATTGGTGTGATTTTTTGTGTGGTGATAGTTGGAGGGCTGGAAAGTGACATAGGCTACTTTCTACCTCGGGAGATTATCTCATTCCCACGGGAAAACACGTTATAGTACAACCTATTATTACAAATCATTCGTATGATACAATAGTTATTAATGTCAATGTAACCGCATTTATCTAGTTCCTCCTAAATAAGAGCATGTTTTCTATGTATGTATATATGGTTTTCTGATGACGTCAGCCACATAGCACGTTATCTCGTACAGTAGTGTACACATGGCTTCACTTGCCACTTACCAAAAATATATTTACAATTATTTCACAATATAATCCACATTAGAAATCCTTTACTTTAGTCGTGTAGTGGACAAACCATTTTGTTATGTAGGTAAAATTACAAAATAATATTTGTTTTCGGTATCTTTTATAAATTATTACGCGATTTGAGTCTTAAAATTTCAAGTTCATTTGACTCGAGTTCTGGAAAAATTTGTTTAATAAACGTCTAATCTTAAAGTGTAAAAGAAAGATTATGTCATTCTGTTTTCATACTTGCCATAACGAGACAATTGCTATGGTTTTAAATTTTTATCTTTAATCTCTATGTATGTAGTAGGTATATTAACTTCGATGATCTATTATGAACAAAAAAAATGTTTCTTGTTTTTTTTTATTTCTATTTATTTTTATTATTTGTTGTTATGGCGCTAATAGAAATACATAATTTAAAATTTCACAGACAGACGGACGGACTCACAGCGGAGGCCTAGTAATAAGGGTCCGTTGGCATCCTTCGAGTACGAATCCCTAAAAACATAAACGAACAAGTGCGATTTTTTTAGCTTCTACTACTTCTACTTTATTAAAGCGCACGTTGTTTCATTTAAAAAAGTACTTTATGTGGTGTGCGTAAGTTCGAATTTGTTTTTAGACAATTAGAACTTTCGATTTTTGGATTTTATTCGTTGGTTTGACTTAACTTCAACTGCCACTTTTTAAACAGGAATACTATATTTTTATATATCAATGTTAAAATGGGACTTCTCAAAGAAGAAATAAAGAAGAAGAAAAGATTACGTATTAGCTGATATGAATGAATTAATCTGAATAGAAGACATTGAACAAACCAATATAAGTCATGGCGGTGACCGTCCCCATGTCTAGCAGCCGCAGTTGCATATCGCACTGAGCTCTTGTGTAGATGAACGATGGGGCGCTGGTAACGGAGACAGCACTCCAAAAAGCGGGGAAAGTGCACAGCATGAGAGTAATATTGAACCATCCATATCCTGTTGCAGCTATGGCTGTTTCGAAGTCTGATCCAGGTTCTGGAAGATTAAATAAGTTTATATTAGTTATTATTACTGGTAGCAGTAACATTGACCTTTGGTCGGGTTTTGTAAGACAAAACGCGGGGATCTAAAAACATGGACTGAATAGGAATGGACACCATAGGCTCAGCAATCGGATTCCCATTGTTTTCGTAAGATCAGTTCGATTCCTACTCATGGCATATTACCATACACGTAATAATAATATTGATTCAACTACTTGAGACGATCTAGACGATTTTGGATAAATTTGAAAAGTAATAATGTTGGGAAGGTCAACAACCGTTAATACAAATCTTGTTTGACTCTTTCTCAATAAATTGGAATGAGATGGATTTACTAATTTTATCTTAAATGTTAAATATCTGTGTTTGTGCATACAAAATAACTGCGAGTTTTCTGTAAACAAACAGGTCCCGTTACAGAAAATGTTTCATTGAAACTTTGCAAGGGTTTTTATTCTATCCTTTGAGGTAGGATTTAGCTTAAATTTTATATGCAACTTGTGAGGCATATGAGGTCATAAGTCGATCGAAATCGGTTCAAATCTAACGCTAAAATCTATCGCGTAACATACACAACAATTTATCTTAAATTAGCGACTTACCTTCACTTCGCTCGGGTTCGTCTCCAGGTACTTTTTCATTGTTTTGAACGGGACCCTAAATCTTACTCGAAAATAAAAGTCTAAGCCTAAGTTAATCCTTATTGCATCAGCTATCTGCCAGTGAAAGTCCCGTCAAAATCAGTCCAGCCGTTTCGGAGATTAGCCAGAACAAACAGACAGATAGACAAACATTTTAAAAATTATGTTTTTCTTATAAGTACTGTATATAATTTTATATCCATTTAGTAAAAAGCTGTTATTTTGTAATCACAAACAGACAATTCAATTTTATTTATATGTGTAGATAACCATCTTTCTTTAAATTGGCCAAACAATCTAACAGAGTCAAAGATGCATTACAATACAGTATTAAAAAACTTATGTGCAGATGATTTTTGAGCTGTACTAAAGCCATTTAAATATATAATGTTTGTCTGTTTAGTCACACTTTACTTCAAAACAAGCAGTCACTCCTTAAATAGCTCAATAACTGTGTCATAAAACTGGTGACATTAAGCGTTGACGGGATCGCGATATTTTTGGCCTTTATCCAGGTTTTCGGTTAAACCAGACCGTCCTGAGACGCAGTTGTTTTGATCGTTGAAAGTTATTATTGGAATGACTTCGAGTTTTGTTATTTCAAAGAAAGAGTAGGCAGTCTTAATTTATACTATAAATTGTTTATTATTATATATTATATCTTTTAATATATCCAAAGAATTTGGAAGATTAAATATAACTACAATTATTAAAATGATTGTAAATACGATGTATGTAAAAATCTGTGGTACGCGGACGTCTGAACTATCTCATTGATGGCCGGATAGAAGAAGGCGAGAGTGAGATAAGCTACTTTTTAGTCTGCCAAAGAAGAAGAGTTCTGGCTGGTTAGGGATAGAAAAGAAGCTCAATGGATTTTAAAAGGAGTTTTACCAGTAGATAGGGAGTTAGTATGAGAGTGACGCTATTTTAGTCGCCGTAACGTGAGGCTGCCAGCGAAAGCTAGCCTTGAGTGATAGAAGACAAATATGTTATGAATATTGTGTAAATTAGAAGACAAATATGTAACTGATGTCCGAGATATTTAACACTAAACAACATTCAAATCTCAATTTAAAGTAATGAAATTTATTCAAGCCTTCATAAGCTTTGATCGATCCTTTTATAAAAATAAACGTAACGTACCTTGAGCTAATTTTTCCAAATTCGTCGAAGATAATCCAGTGACTTTGAAAAGATGATCGTGTGGTATCTCTTCCTTATGGGAAGCAGCCTCCACATCGGTTTTGGTCACCATGGTTGTTGACCGTGGGTACTTTTTTTAATTTAAATTTTGTTTACAGTCCATGTGGACTGCTATCAGGTCCGCTAGAAGCGGTTCAAATGCGTAATACGGTGTATACCATGTTATATAGCAGATACCGCTAGTTTACCGGAGGATCACGCTGTTTGTTGAACAAACACCTGTTTTTCCTTTCACGATATCTTTTGTATACATGAATGTATATAGTTATTGTATAAAATTAATCAAATATTGATTTGACTACCGTCGTAAAATAGTAGTATGGTATTATGTGGATTCGATTTCCGCGCAAGGCGAATAATATATTTTTATGTATTTATATTTCTTGTACAATCTGTCTATCTATCTAGGCTATCCAGTTATTTTCATCAAAATAGAAAGTTTATGAAGTCATTATCAACTATTACCTTCGTTTAGACAAAAAAAGTAACAAATTGTGAAGATTCATCCATCTCATTCGTGTCTTCTCCATTTTGCGTGTCATTGGCGAAATAATCTGTGATTATGATTAAAATTTTGCTACTCCCTTTACCATTTATGACATCGAAAACATAGTATCCGATTAAAAAAAACATGAAATTCGTTAAGGAATTTGATGTTTTGTTTACTTTGCACATTAGCTGCTTTATTTTACTTGTAGCTTAAACAATGGGTCATCGTGGTCATATTTTATGAGTGCATTATTTTAACTCGCGTAACCGTCTGTAACAGATAAAGGTACAACGCCCGTTGCATCGTCATGACCTTGCTGCGCCGTTCCTAATCTATGCAATTCTTATTTCATAAACATGTTACGTGTCTTGAAACAATCATTATTTTTGAACGAATTGATACAATGTTGCCATCTAATGAGGTTAATATCGACAATCGTCCTGCTCAACTTATTATTGAGTGTACTTTACCTTACAATAGGGTATATGCGTATTTTTTTTTATTTTTTAGCAAATGGTTTAAATCGTTATATTATTGTAAAAAAATATCGAGCTCTAAAAAACTAAAATGTCGTATAATTTTTTTTAAATATCATACCGATACGGAAACTTTAAAAATGACGTCTCAATTTTTAGCGACTAAATCGCTTATCGCTTTGTTATGATATACTCTGACGTCATATTCGTCTGACCAATGGCGTGCGTTTAAACTACTTTGAAAACCTATATTTTCACTTTAATAATTATTTTCTTAATCAAAAAGAAATTACTTTAAAAAATATTGACAAAGGCTTAATTCAAAAGCAATAATTATTATAAAAAAAATATTTCACCTTTTTTTAAATCGCACGCATATTCCCTATTATACTTGCATATAAATTAAATATAAACTCACGAGCGAAACTACATGAAAAAATAGTTCATCATAAAAATACTAAATGAAACTTAATTCATTCGAAAGATACTGGTCTAAGAATGCGTACCAACAAATAAAAATCATGTGTGTTGACGTTCTGTTAAAATGAAGTACCTATTATTTTGTAGAAAATGTTTTGATCAATTAAATGTTATTATTACTTATTTGAATCATTCTCATGATAAAGTACTAGCGACTCATTCTCGCTTAGCTCGGGTTCGTCCCTGGGGACGTTTTAACGGTTAATATAGCATAGATAGACCATATATTAGTACATATACATAGATATGATGAGTTTTATATCCCTTACTTAAAAGTGATTGATTCCCCATACAAAATTTCATCCCCCTTTTCACCCCCTTAAGGGATGATTTCCGGATGAAAACTATATTATGTCCTTCCCAGGATCTCAAACTATCTTCGTACCAAATTTCATCTAAATCGGTTCAGCCGATTTTTAGTTAATCCTTTACGAACTAACTCACAAACTTACAAACTTTACCTCTTTATGGTATTATACTGTAGATTATGTCAATTCATGCTTTCCGAAGTTTTACTAATCGTGACTACCATATAAAGTGGTGGAATTTCGTTATTTTGGATGATAATAGTGATTATCATTAAAATTAACTCTGCAAGATAAAATTTACTTAAGACGGTTAATTTCTAAGAATTTAATTGTTAAACGAGCCACCTGCGGCTCGGCAGTCGCTGACAGGTTAACACTATACCTATTCCACACTTCACCACGTACACGTGATGACGATAAACTAAGCTGTCACCATTTTCATTTTTCATTCAACGAAAAATGTATGTTAATTGTGTATGAAAGTATCAAAATAATCGCAATTAGCGCTTTATATTGGCGGAAATAAGCTAAAATATAAGATGGCTCAGCATAACTTAAAGAAGAATGAAATGTGCGTGTTATACATCATAATATGTTATACTTTGAATATTCTATACCTACTGTTATCTATACATATAATAAAATTCTGAGTGGAATCTGTACATTAAATATTTTTTGGACAATCTTTTTTTTGAAATAGTCATTATTATGGATATAGAGGCCGAATCTTTAGTTTCTAGAATTTTTGTCTGTCTGTCTGTCTGTCTGTCTGTCTGTCTGGGAACGCATCACGAGAAACCCATTGGACAGATTTTGATGAAATTTGGTATGATGATAACTGGTTATCTGGGTCAATATCGGAGGCTTTCCTGCTTGAAAATATCTCATTTCTGAAAAATCTATACTAACCGTTAAAACGTAACTAGGGACGAACCCGAGCGGAGCTAGGGTTAGAAGTCGCCAGTATAGAATAAAATCCACTAACAAGTGAACTTAATAAAAGCGCGTTAAAATGTTTTGACTCACAGACTTTAGGTGTGTCATTTGCATCGATAACAGCGGTGATTTAGATAGTACCTACTATAATTAGTAGTGTATTATAGTTATATATTATTTATTCGATTCCGTTGAAATGTTTACAAGTTATTTTGGCTATTTGGCGAAGTTTTGGGTTCATCCTTAAGGAGCATTAAGTACGTTTGCAAGTTTGCCTGATGGATTGCATTCTTAATACAAGAACAGCCTAAAAAAAATGTAAGTATCTGTAGCATGTTACACGCTGACGAAGCCAGGGCGCGTCGCTAGTTAAAAATAAAACTTGGACTTTGTTACGCAAAAAGAACTTTGGACCGTACACAGTCGATACTATTGTAGGGTTGGCACTAGACAAAGCTATTAAAAGATACGACGATTAAGCGCCATTTAAAAATAAATGATAAAGTTGGTATGTTTTAACGATGAGAATTAATATAACAAAAAAATAAAAACCGACTTCAAACAAAAGCACTAAAAAGTAAAAAATAACTGATTGGTAGTTTTCATTTACTATACATACCTAATCAAATATTTTCGAAGTCGGTGTGCTTTGCTTTGTGTGGGCTGGCACCGATTTCGAAAATATTTGATTAAGTATGTATTTAATAGGTAGGCTTTAATTACTTAGCCAAACCACAGTTGCCCACAATTTTACAAAATGATTTCAAAAGTTCTAAAGTGGCACCAAAGTAATTTACTATATTTGTTGATTTTAATTCTAAACATTTTAAAATGTTTAAGAAGTATTATAAATAAATGTAATATACATACACAAATAACATTATCGTATATTTCAGTCATAGTCAGTTATGTTCACAATATGAGATGTACAATTATAAAATAAAGAACTTTTAGAAAATGGAAAATATACCTTCTATGCAAAAAAAAATATTTATGTATTGTGTATTTTATTTATGTGATTATATAATATATTATACAAGTGGCGTTAGAGAATCAATACTAGAAAGCCAGAACGAAATAAAAAGGCACTATAAAGCAACAAATATTACGAAAACTAGTAGGTGACAACCCTGATGGTGGGCGATGAAATTTATAAGGAAGCCGAACAAATACTGATTGAACTTACGTACCGAATCACGTCGCCTTCACGTGCACGCTGCCAGCTTGCTGCAGTGAAAGTGGAATAAAAGAAGTATTTTACAAGTTGTTTGTTTTATTGCAAGAAACATTTCAGAACACGCGAACAGACTTCTATGTTTTAAAGTTCAGGTATCCGGCCGTGAATCTTTTATTCAAGGTCAGAGGGCAATATTGTAAATGCGAAAGTGAATTGGTGGGTTTTTCCTATCTTTACGTAGCAATAAAGCTATCAATTGACATGCTTTATACTATATAGTTTATGTATTGAGGGTTGATGAGTGTGTAGTCTACTTTATATTATTAACTGCGTATGAGAAAGTTCCCTAGGTACCGTTACCTATAAAAAGCGAGGCCAATGTTAGTGATTTAGCTATACGTATAATATGAGTTTTTGTATATCAATTAAATAAAATATAGAATATCAGAAAACTTACAGTGTTATCCGACTGACTATAAAAATATGTCTTTTTTACCTTTTAAATGCAGTTTTCATTGTAGCGACAATAACTGCGTATGCTATTTACAATAATAATTACAATAAAATAACTTAAAGACTTTCTGAAAAAAAGCAGAACTTTAAAAAAATCAAAGATATCAGAGCTTCTTCCTTTCCCACAACCCTTTGAAAAGAACATTCCTAAATGATAACTCACTTTTAACTTGTTACGACAGATGAAGTGGTCTCAAAAGTCGTTATTAATCATATGCGTGATATAATGATAAATGATTTCTATCAAATTGTGGAAAATGCAACAAAATGTGTAACACTATGATATGGTCCGTGATTAATTAGTCAAGTAATAGATTTAACTTAAATATTTTTATTACTAACTTGTTACTAGCCTTTACTAATGATCTCGCCGCGTAAATAGATAAAAATATTATCAAACTAAAATTATACATGAATATTGATACCAATTCATGGCGATCGCTTAAACGGTGCAGAAGTTCATGAAAAACCTTCTCCATATAAAACATGTTATACATGCAGTTTGTCTTGATTCACCGAAAAATACGTAGACATTGAGAGTTAAGAACGCGCGTTGTTTTTCTGGCGGCAGAAAACGGTGAAAGAATTCTGGGAACATTGACAAGATAACATTCTGCAATAGCTAACGCTAAAAGGTAACAAAAAATGTATGGGAATGACGCATCTAGGTAC